GGGGAGGGGAGGGAGGGAGGAAGGAGAAAGAGGGGAGAGGAGAGGGGAGGGAAGAAATGGAAGGGAAGGGAAGGGAGGGGGAAGGGAGGGAAGGAAGAAAAAGAGGGATGAATATGAGAACTTCAACTCCCAGAATTCTCCAGCCAGCATCAACGAAGGTCCCCACATCTTAATGTTACCAATTCTGAAAGGCACTGGACTAAACCATGAATGGGGGGAGATCTTCCATAGCTAGAGGATTGCCTCAAATTGAAAGAGAGGTTTGTACACACTTCAGAATACTTACTTCAAATTAAATTAGCATCCCTAATTTCAGTGCTTTGACAGAAATGGTACATTAACTTTTCTATACTCAAATATTATAGAGAGGGGGGGGGGTCATCTCTGCAGTAGCCTCATTGTCTGGACTACTTTAAAATAATTACTTTAAGGACTGCAGCCTTTAGTTTCCATGTGCAACATCATTTATTCCAGCACCTTTGATTCTCTACTCTGTTCAGGCTAAATTGCTTTAGCTCAGTTATTATATACATAGACATCATCTCATATCCATCAAACCAGGGTGACCCCCTGAGGCCAAGGTCTCCCAATTAAGTATAAAATAGATTTAAGGTATCATGATGAGCTTTACAATTTCTCTGTGGTTTGTTTATTTAAATTATTCATTGAACAAACACCGGTGAAATAAGATCTTGCCTTTTACACACAGGGTGCAATTTACTGAAAAGCTATTTAACATAAGAGAAAAATATATAGGTACTCCTCATTTAATGACCCCCTTGTTCAGTGACTATTCAATGTTATGATGGTGCTGAACGATGAGATTTATGGCTGGATCTGGAAGTTACAGTTCTCACAGTGACCCTATGATTATGATTGAAGGGTTTGGTAACCAGTGCACAAATACCGTGCTCAAAGTGGTCACCATTATTTCCAATCTTTGCTGCCGGCTTCCAACAAATAAAATCCTGTCAATGGGGAAGCCAGCAGGATGTTGCAAGCTATGGTCACATGACATTGCATTTAACAACGGCATGGGTTTCTTCCTGTCAATGGGAAAGCCAGCAGGAAGTGATTATTTTTCTTAGATGTACCCATTTCATGTATTCATAACTATGTATATACTTATACCTATTATCTTCTAAGCGATTGACAAATCAAAATAAATTAAAAAAATATGATTTCAAACGTCTTTCTAAGTTCATTTATGGATTTAGTATGCATATTCAGCATTACTGCTTATCCCTATTTGTAAGTAAACTATAATATATGAGCAGGATTAGTATCCAATTCAGCAAAATATATCTAGAGTAGAAAATTCACCTGTAACGAGCATTATCATTTTTGTTAATGCCATGGCAATTTGTTAGGGGCGTTCCACAGAGACTACTGTATTTTGGGGTATATCAGAGGCATATCCTCTTGGCAATTTGGAATCAAACTATTAAACACATAAGTAGTTAAAAAAAAAACAGCACCTTGGAATAAAAAGCAATAGCAAACTAGAATAGATAAAGAAAACCACTCTAAGGTTCTGTTTCTGATCTCTGTGGAGATTATCTGATGCCATTTCAATTCATGGTTTTAAGCAGTCTCACATTCACTGTCTTCTGTCATGGTAAATATTCAAAATATTTAAAGAAATTGGGGAAAAATGCATTGAATACTGAAGATTTCTTTCTTGCAAGCCCTGTTGCACCATACTCCATTTCTTCTAGAAAGCCTGAGAAGGTAGACCAGACTAAGAAACCATCATCATGTACTTTTATTGTAACCTTACAAGTCTGAACAAGCAAACCTCTTGTCTGTGAAGATTCTCAGTCATCCAAGGTCACAGTTGTCCCAAAAATGTTTTTTTTTCTAAAGGCAACTGGACTTTCTTTGTTTTTCCTTGAAGACATTTCTCTGCTCATTGAAGAAGCTTCTTCAGTTCTTCAGAACTGGAAAAGCTTCTTGGATGAGAAGCAAAACATCAGAACACAACACAACAAAACAAAACAACGGAACTGGAAGGGACCTTGGAGGTCTTCTAGTCCAACATTTTTAAGGAGAACAAAAAAAAGTCCAGTTAGGACCAGCTAAACTCTTCCTCACCTTTTATCTCTGTGCAAATTAGGGAATTTTCTGAGATGTTTTCTTATGTTTATTATCTTGCTGTTCCTTATTCCCTCTACATATATTCCTCAGCTCTTATGTCAATCGTCTGCTAGGCATACAGTGTATTTGCTGAGAGCAATAGCACTTAGACTTATATACCGCTTCCCAGTGCTTTACAACCCTCTCTAAGTGGTTTACAGAGTCAGCCTCTTGCCCCCAACAATCTGGGTCCTCATTTTATCCACAACGGAAGGACGGAAGGCTGAGTCAACCTCGAGCCTGGTGAGACCTGAACTGCTGAATTGCAGCCAGCAGTCAGCAGAAGTAGCCTGCAGTACTGCACTCTAACCACTGCCCAATGCTCTACTTAAACTTATACTTGTGTTTGTATGCGTAATGTGTTTTATTAGTGTTGTATGTCAGTGGTGCATGACCTCTGTTAGATGCAATACACTAAAAAAAAAAAAATCCGCCGTCTACCCAAAAAGCCATTAATGCAAGGGGTCTTAGGGCATAACCAACAAATTACAGAATACTAGAGTTGGATGGATTCTTGAAGGTCTTCTAATCCAACTCTCCTGCCCTTGGCAGGCGATCCTATACTATTTGAGACATTTTGGGGGCTTAATGGGATGGATACACATGATCATAGAAAGAATAACAGAGGAACAGAACAGAATAACAGAGTTGGAAGGGACCTTGAAGGTCTGCTAGTCCAACCCCCTGCTCAACTAGGAAAGATTTTAGACAAGTGGTTGTCCAATCTCTTCTTAAAAAGGGTATGATCAAAGCTCTATTCATTTGTATTCTATTCAATGTGTACTGCATTTATAAGATTAATTTAGGGAAATCTCTTTAGGGAAATCTCTGCTCTGGCCATCTCCCATTTGTAGCAATAATTCTGAAGCTTAAGCAGTGGTTTTCACTCTTCTTACCCTCATCCCTTCAAATCGAGACAGGGCTCTTAGCGGTCGCAAAGCTCGCAGTGTACGGAGAGATTTCATGGGGCCCATCTCCAATTTTCCAAGCAAAGGTGCTATAAGAGTTATCAGAGAGATCTAAAAGAGAAAGTAGGAAGATGAATGGAAAGGCGTTAACTGCCTGCTTTTAATTTACCATGCATTTTGTCTGCCTCTATGCTAAGGATACGCCAACTGATATTCTTCTGTGTAACTACTATTAAAAGGGGGCATCTTGAAAGGGTACAATGCGATACGATTTCTCAGAATCTGGAGAATGGACCAACGAGACATTATCTAGCATTTCTCCAATCTTGCATTAGTAATTTAGCATGAATATTCAGACTTGGGAGTATTCTGCTGTACTGATAGATGTTGACTTTCGCCCATACCTGAAAAGGTGTTTCTGTGGCTAAGCAAGGGGATCGTTAAATGAGCCTTATCCAATTTTATGAACTTTTTAGCCGCGATCATTAAGCAAACCCATAACCAGTGGTTATGTGGCCGTTAAGCGAATCCAGCTTACCCCATGCTTGTCAAAAGCTGGCTGGAAAAGTCAAAAATGGTGATCGCCTGATCCCCGGGACATTGCAAATACACGAATACATACTGGTTGCCAAGGATCATGTGACCGTGGGAACACTACGACAGCTCTAAGTGTCAAGACCAGTTGTAACTTTTTTCAGTGCTGTTGTAACTTGGAACAGTCACTAAACAAAATGATTGTAAGTCGAGGAGCATTTGTATTCTATTACGCTTTTTCATCCAACTGCCTAGATGACAAAACAGATAAAAGATACCCTACTCTCAAGCTTCGTTTGGGTGGTTTCAGTGGAGAATTCAGCCAAGTGTCCGTAATTAACAGGCGATCTGAATTCTATTACTCTTCTCCAGAGGTGGGTATTCAGCAGGTTCTGACCAGTTCTGGAGAACCAGTAGCGGAAATTTTGAGTCGTTTGGAGAACCGGCCAATACCACCTCTGACTGGCCCCGCCCCCATCTATTCTCCGCCTCCCGAGTCACAGCTGATTGGCTGGGTCTTCTTTGGTTGCCCTGCACAGGAGAACGGAGCTGGAAAGCAGGTTAGTGGGGTGGGGAGGGAAGGGGGGTTTGGCAGTATCCTTCCCCTGCCACGCCCACCAAGCCACGCCCACCACACCCACCATGTCCGGTAGTAAAAAAAAAATTGAATCCCACCACTGCCCTTCTCCTGGTGGGAATTTCAATCATCTTGGGCTGCATGGCCAAGAAGAGAAGCAGATTTTTAGAGGGTTTTCGAAGGTCAGGAGGGGGTTTGGGGCCCGTTGTTTGTCATGCCAGATCCTTCCAGGAATGAGGTGGAGCAGATTTGCCTTCTGTGTTCCACCAGATGGCGCTGCTTCTCCTTTCTTCATGTCAGGCATCATTTTGTACAGTACATCTTTACACATTTCAATAGCTCTCAGCCAGTTCCCTTTCTCCAAATTTAAGCAGCCCAAAACTTGTAAAAATGATCCTTCTCTTTCTCCTCCCCTCCTCCCCCTTCCTCTTCCTCCTTCTCCTCCCCTTCCACCCTCTTCCTTCTTCCTCTGAATATGAATAGGAATATGCTTCGCTTTAGCGTGTGCCCCATCTAAGCTGAAATCTTCAGTGAGTTGGCTCCATTGTCCCAAGATTTTGGCAATCCACTCATGCTCCCTCGGAAATCAATGAGATCCGTTCCAATTCAGCTGCAAGACTTACGTCTACAATCAGGAAATCAAGCCAGCACCAGGCATTGGTGAAGTATTTGTGGAATCCGTAAGCCACCCATTTCAGCAACATCTCTAAGACAAATATGTAGGTGAAGATTTTGTCAGCATAATCCAGCATGATTTTAATATTCCTCCTTTCGCTCAAGTAAATGTCTTCAAATGCCTGAGATAAGAATGAACATATGAGTGTTATATTTGCAGAACGTTATTAAATTTATTATTAAATGTACTATTTTTCTTATTTTTCTTATTTTTTACTATTTTTGTCTCCCTCCCTCCCTGCCTCTCAACCTCTTCCTTTCCGTCTCCTTCTCCCTCCTTCTCTCCCTCTCCCTTTCCCTTTCTATCTCCCCCCTCTCTCTCACTCACACACACACATCCACAGACACCTCCACAGACACATATACATGTTGCTGGAACATTAGACATAATGCAAGGAAGGTATAGCAAATATAAATAGAAAATCCATGAAAACTCAGGGTGAAAAAATGGAGTCTGTGAAACTTCTAACTTTTTTTTAATATACACCCCTTTTATTATGCTTTACTTTGATCACAGCTATTCTTTCTCTTTTTTGTTGCTTTAGCTACTATTTTAACCCACTTTCCTTTTCCATTCTATCTCTCAATGTTCTCAGCCAATTAAGGATCTTGTAATACATGTGATGATGTCACAAAAACCAATCAAATTTGACTGACAGCTTAGTTAGTCTAGAATTATTGATGCCTGTAACATCCTCTAAGTCTACATTTCTCCCCAGTACAGGTAGTCCTCAATTTATGACCACATTTGCGATGGAATATCAGTGTCTAAATGATGCAATTGTTAAAGAAATCATGCAATTGCTAAGTGTATTGTGCAATCATTAAGTGAATCAGGCACTTCCCCCTTGTCAGCTGGGAAAATCACAAACTGCAATCCCATGGACCTTGGATGCTGCAACTGTTATAAATATAAGCCAATTGCCAAGGACCCACATTGTTGTTAAATGAATGGTCATAACTCAAGGACTATCTGTGCTGTTTTCAAATTATCTTTCTATGATTGCAGATTCTGTTCTGCTGTGTAAAGATGGAACAATCTGCCATGGTTGTTTTGTACACACAATTCACATTGTAGACATGGTTTTCAGAACCATGAAGAATGATCCAAGACAGGTTCAGTTTTCAGTGGCAGCTGTCATTCATTCCCCTCCCCCCCACTGACTATTAATAAGGTACTGAAGCAAATCCTGAGCACTGATGAAATGGGTGAAAAAGTTCATTTTGATAGGTTGGTGCCTTCAAAGTAATGAAAACACAAAAAATTAAAAACTAATCAGATTTAAAAGCAGACTATGAAGGAAGCAGATATAAGCAGAGGAGTCTCTGTGGCGCAGTGGTTAGAGTGCAGTACTGCAAGCTACTTCTACTGACTGCCAGCTGCCTACAATTTGGCAGTTCAAATCCTGCCAGGCTCAAGGTTGACTCTGCTTTCCATCCTTCTGAGGTGGGTAAAATGAGGAGCCAGATTGTTGGAGGCAATAGGCTGACTCTGTAAACCACTTAGAGAGGGCTGGAAAGCACTATGGAGTGGTATATAAGTCTAAGTGCTATTGCTATATAAATGGTTTCCCATGAAAACTTTGATTAGACATTCAACCAGATCTTCAAAACAATGAGCTTTGTTTCAAAAGAATCATAGAATGGGTAGAGTGAGATCCAGACCTTTGTGTTGTTCCTAAAAAGTAGAGCGGTGAGGGATCAGATTTTTAACAAAGCTGCCCTCCTTTTTTTTACAGGTAGTCCTCAAATTATGACCACAAGTGAGCCCAAAATTTGTGTTGCTAAATAAAACCATTAAGTAAGTTTTGTCCCATTTTTTGACTTTTCTTGCCCCAGTTGTTAGGTGAATCTCTGCAGTTGTAAAGTGAGTAACATGACTGTTAAGAGAATCTGGCTTCCCCATTGACTTTGCTTGGCAAAGGGTCACAAAAGGGGATCACTTGACTTTGGGACATTGCAACTGTCAGAAATATGAGTCAGTTGCCAAGCTCCTGAATTTTGAGCACGTGACCATGGGGACATTGCAATGGTCAGAAGTGTGAAAAACAGTCATAAGTCACTTTTTCCAGTAACTTTATAATTTTGAATGATTACTTCACAAATGGTTGTAGGTTGGGGACTACCAGTCTACATCAGTGTTTCTCATTTCAGGATGATGGACCTCAACTCCCAGAATTTCTCAGCTGGCATGCTGGCTAGAGAATTGTGGGAGTTGAAGTCCACACATCTTAAAGCTCTCAAGGTTGAGAAACTATGTTCTACATCAGGAGTCTTCAAACTTGACAGCTTTAAGACTTGCGGACTTCAACTCCCAGAATTCCTCCTCCAGTCATATTAGCTCAGGAATTCTGGGAGTTGAAGTTCACAAGTCTTAAACTTGCCAAGTTTGAAGACCCTTGGTCTACATTGTTCCTTATTGGAAATGACAAGTTCCTTTCTTCTGTTTCAGATAATGTTTAAAAAAAAGAGAGTTAACATACCAACGCTCCACTACTTAACAGAATCATGAACACAATGAAGCTTTCAAACCAGTTGTGTTCCACAATTTGGTAACATGTCTTTCTTAAATTCCACCATGTTTTCCCTGGAAACTTAGTAGTATTCACAGAACACCAAGGATAATGGTGAACACATCCTGAAAGAGACATTGAAGTCACAATGTAAAATTATTGCACAAAGACAATTCTCATGAACAGGTTAATAATATATTTTTTAGCTCTGCATCCTGTCTTTCAAGATGCTAGGTGAACCTCTCCGAGAAAACACGACTAATCTAGTTGGCCAGATTGTTTGGGATGATGAAAACCATCATTTCTGGATGAGAAAGTGTTCAAAAGCAACTGCAGCTTAAATCGATGAGGGAGGAAAAATATATAAAATTCATAGGGGTACAGCTGATCCTTGACTTACAACCAGAACTGACCCCAAAAATTGCCTTGCCTTGCTTAGCAATGGTTAGCTCTAGCAATCCACCCGTGTTTATGACTATAAAACGATATAAATCTGTCAAGGGGCTCCTTACTTTCTGGGAAGCAATTGTCTGGCTGCTTTAAATCATCATCAAGCTCAGAGACGTTCTTCAGGAATTCATTAGGGTCTGTCAGATCCACAGTGCTGCCTTCTGAACAACTGGTTGAGTCGGCATTCTACAAAACCAAAAAGACAGGCCAGATGTTTCTCTTGGATCAGATGACCCTTGGCATTCCTAGATTAAGGGCCTAGAGAAGGCGCCACCGTTTTTAAAAACATGGAATGGTAGCGTGGGGATTCTGCAATGATCTGGACTCAAATGGCAAAAGTAATTTGCAGACTATAACCCTTTAAATCAGAGGTCTCCAAACTTGGCAACTTTAAGACTTGTGGACTTCAACTCGTGCACGTTTTAAAGGATCTGCTCTGAATGTCTTGTGCCTCTTCAGCACGTGCAGAGAACGATTCTGGCGGAGGTTCAACTGTTTTGGACATGAATTTAAAGAACTTTAGGTCTATGGATTTTCTCAGTCATCCAGGTCACGGTTGCCCCAAACTGAAAAAGCTTCTTGGAAGAGAAGCGAACAATGAGATGTTAAAACTTTGGGGGAAAGTGCAGAAGAGCAGCTAAGACGATTAAAGGCCTGGAGACTAAAACATACAAAGAACGGTTGTGGGATTTGGGTATGGCTTAGTCTAGAGCAGAGGTCTCCAAACTTGGTAACTTTAAGACTTGTGGACTTCAACTCCCAGAATTCTTAAAGTCTTAAAATTGCCAAGTTTGGGGACCCCTGCTTTAAACCGAACCAGATTCTTCTTTTCCCAAAGGCCATTGCCAGATGACTGAACACACCCATGGATGCGTTAGGCAGATTTTGATCTCTGCCCAACCTTAGTCAATACAGGTAGTCCTTGATTTACAGCAGTTCATTTAGTGACCGTTCAAAGTTAGAGGGACACTGAAAAAAAAGGGACTTACGATGGTTTTTCACACATACAACTATTGCAGCATCCCATGTGATCAAAATTTGGCTCCTTGACAAGTGACTCATATTTATGACGGTTTCAGCCGCCCAGAGTCATGTGATCCCCATTTGTTTACCATCTGACAAACAAAGACAATGGGGAAGCCAGACTCACTTAACAACCGTGTGACTAACTTGAGAACGGCATGATTCAATTAGCGACTGTAGCAAGAAGAGTCATAAAATGGGGAAAAATTCACTTAACCAATGTCTCACATAGTAACAGAAACTTTGAGCTCAGTTCTGGTCATCTGTTGAGGACGACCTGTAAATTCCTCTCGAGACTGAATTTGGCTCCTGAAACAATCCCCTTTAACTAGGGGGACGTTGACTGGTTACTGCAGGGCTGGGCTGCTGGGGGTTCGCAGGGGTTGGGGAGAGCCCTTAGCTAAGATTCTGTGCAATTTGGAGAACCCCCAAATCCCACTGCTGTCTGGCCCCGCCCCCCCCTCTCCCCCCCTCCCAGGAGCTTCCACACACAGCCCATTTTGGATGCAGGTGAAGGGCAGGGCACATGCGGAGGCTCTGGGAGGGTGAAAAACGGGCCTCCTGGAAGTTTTGGAAGGCCAGAAATGGGCCCGTTTCTGGCTTCCAGTGAGCCTCCGGAGCCCCAGGAGGTTGCTTTCCCCCTCCTGGAAGTTTGAGGAAAGCCTCCGGAGCCCAGGGAGGGCAAAAACGCCCTCTCTTGCCAGGGTGCAGGAGGCTAACTAGGCCATGGTGGTAATTTTGAGTAGTTCGGAGAACCGGCCAATCCCACCTCCGACTGGCCCCACCAACCCCATCTCTTCTCTGCCTCCCATCGAGTCCCAGCTGATCGGCTGGGTCTTCTTTGGTTGCCCTGCACAGGAGAACAGAGCTGGAAAGCAGGTTAGTGGGGTGGGGAGGGAAGGGAAGGGGGATTTTGCAGTATATCCTTCCCCTGCCACGCCTACCAAGCCACACCCACAGAACCGGTACTAAAAAAAATTCGAATCCCATCACTGGGCTACGCCCACCCAGCAACCGGGCCCTTTGCTAACATTTTTGAAGCTCACCCCTGGGTTACTGTACAGATAGTCCTCCACTTACGATCGTAACTGTGAAAAGAGCTTATGCTGCTAAGCGAAGAGGTTGTTCGGTGATTTGTGCCTGATTGTTATGATCTTTTTTGCCATGGTTGTTAAGCAAATCACAGCAGTTAAGTGAATCATACGGTTGTTGAGCAAATCTGGCTTACTTCCCTTGGCTTTGCAAATGGGGATTCCATGACCCGAGGATGCTGTAAATACACATCAGTTGCCAAACATCTGAATTTTGATCGCATACTCATGGGGATGTTGCAATGGACATACTTGGACATGTGGTCATAAGCCACATTTTTTTCAGACCATTTTAACGTCAAGTGGTTACTAAACAAATGGCTGTAAGTCGAGGACTTCCAAGAACTCCTTTTCAAATCACTCACTTCAAACTCATTTGGTTCCATAGCCACAATAGGCAATATCCCCATGACCTACTGTTGCGGTTGTCGTCATTATCCTCATTTATTAGCTTTATTTAGACCCCAGCATGTCACCGGAAGCTCAAGGCTCAATCCTGCCTATATTGAGGTAGTCCTCGACTTATAACCACAATTGAGCCCAACATTTCTGTTGCTGAGCCAGACAGTCATTAAGTAAATTTTACCCCATTTGACGCGCTTTCTTGCCACAGTGGTTGAGTGAATAACTGCAATTGTTAAGTTAGTAACATGGCTGTTAAATGAATCTGGCCTGCCCATCGACTTTGCTTGTCGGAAGGTAGTCACATAACTCTGGATTACACTGCAACTGTCATAAATACGATCCAGCTGCCAAGCATCTGAATTTTGATCGTATGACCACGGGGGTTGTAAGTGTGAAAAATGGTCACAAATCAGTTTTTTGGGGTGATGTTGTAACTTCAAACAGTCCCTAAATGAACTGTTGTGAGTTGAGGATGTACAGGTAGATAAGGTGGGCTGAAAGAGATTAAGCCGCTGGTCCCCCAGATAATTCCCATATGGGAGGATGAGAGTTCAGGTTCCCATGTGGAAGGTCCAATTAAATTGATTTAAGCCTCTACACAGGAATCTTCTCAACTGACTGCTAGTAGTTTAATGGCATTCAAGGGAAGTTGGGCTTGGTGCCCTTGTGGCTATGTAGAGATTCTAGGCTGGAGCCTCTTTTCACTCCACCCCGTTTTCTGCTACACCTTCAACTATACCTGAACTTTATCGATATATCACATTGGCAACACTTTTCTTGGCTGTAGATTGGGGAGTAGTATTTACCTCTCTTTCCTTGGAGGCTTGTACACTTCTTTCTTCAGGGATAGAAATTTCTGAAGTCCGGCTCCAGAGTTCACAGCTTTTGGCCTTTTCTCCCCTCAAGCGCAACTGGTTTTCCTGCTGAAAATCATAACAGCTGGGATTTAAAATGACTTTAATAAGCCTTGGTTGCTTTAGCTACTAATATGGCGGCCACAGCCATATGATCCGTGGCACACACACATCTCTTTTGCAGGTACCAACCCTACAGATGCCCCCGCCCAGAGTTTAAAAAACAGGATTCTCACCATTTTTTTTTCTTTTCTATATACAGGTAGTCCTCAAATTATAACCATTCATTTACTGACCATTCAAAGTCACAAGGGCACTGAAAAAGTGACTTATGAGCACTTTTCACACTTATGACCGTTGCACCATCCCTGAAGTCACATGATCAAAATTCAGATGCTGGCAACTGGTTCATGTTTATGACAGTTGCAGCGTCCTGGGCCTTTTTGTGACCATCTGACAAGCAATGTCAATGGGGAAGCCAGATTCACTTAATGACTATGTTACTAACTTAGCAGTGTTTCTCCTAACCACTGTTTCAGGAAAGGTCATAAAATGGGGCAAAACTCACTTAACTGCTTTGCTTAGCAATGGAAATTTTGGCCTCAGTTGTGGTTGTAAGTCAAGGACAACCTGTATCATTTTCCAACAAATACCCTCACACCTCAACCTTCTGTCACTGGATATTCACAGAAAAGGAACACACACACACCCCAAAAAATCCCACAAAAAGGCTTTAATCCCATTTTATTTTTCTAGAGACTTGCAGATATGTTGCAGCTGCTTATCCAAGAAAGAAAAGAAGTTTCATTTATTAAATGTATATGCCATCCATCTCACTATTATAGTCACCCTGAGAAGCCTACAAAATGATTAAAGGATGGTACAAAATAGTATATGCATCTTCCCAGAATTTATTTACCAGCATTTCTGCCTACGGACCTGGCTAAATTCTAACATAGAAAGAGAAGATGCAGGGAAATAGTTATACATTTTAACTCTTTTGCCAGGTGCCAGATTTGCTATTTCTGACAATAATTTGGTTTCCAGGTAAGCAGCAAAGCCAGGAGATATTGATGAATTAGTACTGACCTTCTAGGGCAGCATTTTTCAACCTTTCCAATATGATGATGTTTGGACTTCAACTCCCAGAATTCCCTGCATACAACATGCTGGCTGTGGGATTCTGGGAGTTGAAGTTCAGAGATATCTTAGAGCACCAAGGTTGAAAAACACTGCTCTAAGGGGAAAAAAACTAATAAAAAATAACTTCTTGGAATCAGACTTATTCTTTTTATTTTAATACTTTTTATTGTACTTTTCCACAATTACAAATCTCTTGTGCATTCTTTACAACACTATGACATCGACATTTTCACTTATATCTACATACATACGTACATATATACTTTTAATTCTTATTTCTCTTGCCTAACCAGCTATACCACTTATCCCAGACAGTATAATATTCTGATTCCTCTCTAGCTTGCAGTTTCAATGTAAGTTTAACGATCTCTGCATAGACCAACCCTTTATTTATTACCGCACCTTCGGAAGTCTAATTTTCAATTTTGTGCATAGGCAATTCTTGCCACTGTCACTATATGTACTGTAATATATTTGGGTTTTTTTTTTAAATTAAATTCTCCTTTAATTATTCATAATAAAAACATTTCGGGCTTGAGTTCCATTTGAAGACCTATAATTTGGAATCAAGCTCACTTCTGATGATTTCATGGACCCATCATAGCTATCCTTACATGGTTAGCCATCGTCTTCTTCGGAGATGGTAGTTTCAACTTCCCCACGTAGGAATCTCCTACTGTGACTTTGTGGCCTGCTGAGATGACCCAAATCTAGCTACTAACCTGCTTCGTGCACTCCGTCCCCACAACTGAGCCCAGATCTTCCGAGGCATCACTGTCAGTTTCCACATGAGCAATCGGAACACAGATAAAGACGCTGGGATTGGAGATGAAGTCATCCTGATGGCTCTTCTCACTCCCTTGGGGGCTGCTGTGGCCTTCTTTGGAATTATGGCCATTGTTTCTCAGTTCTACCTCGCATTTCTCTGAGTCACATTTTACTTTCTTGGTGGCGGCTTTCCCCTTCCACCCCAGCGCCCGGAAGAAAAAGGTCAACGTGGCCTGTTTTGCAACATGAAGCCCTCTGTGGATCCTAGCAAAGGCAATCTTCAAGTTGTTGGTCTCCCTGTCATCTTCTGGGAGCTGGTTGAGGTTATCGGTACTGAAGGAGTTCAGCAGAAGGGCGATGAACAAATTGAGGACCTCAGAAGGACAAAGCAAAAAGTTAAGAGATGCCAATTATGATTAGATGATTAGATGATAGATAGATAGATAGATAGATAGATAGATAGATAGATAGATAGGTAGATAGATAGATAGATAGATAGATAGATAGATAGATAGATAGATAG